CCCCAAAACCCCAAAACCCCAAAACCCCTTTGAGATTCATTAATTTTGAAGGAAGTAGAATTATTTTAATAAGAATGTGAGGAGAAATTAGAAATTTTAAATTTAGAAAGAGATAGTCTAGGAAAACTCCCTAATTATCCTATTAGACATCTGTTTCATTGAGAAGAGATGGAGACTCAGGATGAAATTTTTTAGCTTGATGTTGCATAGCTTTGCTTATTAGAGCTCCTGTTGCGCCTCCAAAAGCAGTTCCTGAAGCAGAGCCAATAGCTGCACCAGGTAGGTTACCAAAAATTCCACCGCCTATAGCTCCAAAAAATCCAAATGCAGCTGCAACTTTGAGGGGAAGCCATCTCCATCTGGAACTTGTTGCCTTTTCAACTTCTTTAAGAGCAATCCCTGATTCTTTTGCTGCACTCTGAGCTTCAATATTTGTAATAAGTAGCTTGTTTTTTCCTTTTATAAGTTGGTTTTCGATATCAAGTTGAATTTCACCGAAATCTTGGATCACGTCATATGCTGCTTCAAGGTTTTCATATTCATTTTTTAATTCTTGTACTTCTGGGTCAATCACTACGAAGTCAAGTAAAGGAACTGGTGAAGACTCTTCCAACCGCTCATAAGGTTGATCAGGGATATATTTAATTCCAATGGATGACCTAGGACTTCCAAGACTTGAAGTGAGACTTTTGTCAGACTCACTTTTGAGACAAGTTGGAATTTTTCCCTGTCACTCTTTGACAATTTTATTTTTTACTATCTCAAATTTCCTCACTTGTCTATGTAATTTCCAATCCCGTTGAAACTTGTATTTATATACTCTTTTTGGAGGCTTATTTGGGTGTGTGAAGGCACTTCACTCAATTTCACCAATGTCTGAAATTGAGTCTTTCGAAATTTTCTCTTTGAGCTCCTTGTAAATTCCTTCAAGTTCTGAGAGCAATCTCTTAGAGATGGCAGGCACGTCATCTCTGTAGTTCTTTCGCGTATTCTTCTTGTGATTTATTAATTGTTTTAATAGGCTATCAAGGTATTGGACCTTGACCCTTACTTCTTTTTCCATAATTGCTATTTTAAATTATTTTATACATTCATGTTTTCAATCTTTAAAAGCTTTCCTGGGGTTTTGGGGTTTTGGGGTTTTGGGGTTTTGGGG